TAGTAACATCTTCACAGGTATCAGGGATGGGGGCATTTTTGTGGGGCCATTATTCTGTCTACCACTGCCACCTACTGTCAGCTGAGGATTGCCATACAGAGACATGGTAAAGATGTTTTCTCTAAAACACTGCACATACTGGCAAGAGAAAAAAATGCGATCATTAAACTGTTCTCTTGATATGCCACAGCAATCGGAAATGAATCTGAAATTCACTGCTTAGTTTACACTGAAAGGCATTGTCAAACAAACAGCCTGTATCATACTCACGATAGCAGTGAGATCAAAGAGGCTGAGTGATTTCTAGTTGACTACAGGTCTGAGGAAAACAGTCCTTTCTCTTCTTGTAGATTTTATATGGCAAAATTGATTGGTTTTGTTTTCCAGGACTGAAGTTTTTTTGTTCCAAACCTACTGAACTTCAACCCACACCCATGAGATAAAAGCTTAGGTAACTTTTTTCTTTTGTATCAGTTCCTTCTTGGTCTGGGTGCTCAGAGGGGAAAATGCTTCTACCAAGGGGGAGTCTTAGTTCAAGGGCAGAGGAAATATTTAAGGGAAGCAGGGGTTGGGGGAGGGGTACAAGCACCTTTTTGTCTCATCAACATCCAGTTTAAATACCAAGGAGTCCCAATTTGAAATTTAAGACTCTGTACCCTGCTTTCCTTAGCCAAGAATCCCTACCTACTGTGAAGCACACTATACCTGGGACTTTTTTCCATTTCTTTTTTTTAAATTTTTTTGATGTTCCCTTGAAGGGGTTGCACCATTTCTGCAGGTACTATGATATTAGATGGATGTGTGGAGCTGGGTCCTTCCTACTCCATCTCCCTCCTCCAAAAATCCATTTAACATTTTGTTCTTGGACAGAGGATATATCATATATTAAACTGTAATAAATAGATACTACACTTGATCTTAGAAGCAACCTAGGGGACTTTTTCAGTGGAAGAAAACAGTGCAGTGAAGATTTTTTTTTTTTTTGCACTGGGGAATTGAATCCTGTTTATGCTAAACACATGCTCTACCACTGAGCTCCACCCTGGCCCCGCTGCAGCTGTCTTTCAAAGGGAACAGTCCCATGTAATCTTCACAGCAGAAACAAGTCTACTTCAGCATCTTGCAAGCTAGAAATAACATAGCAGGAAGAAATAATTTCAAAACGATGTGGATTCAAATCTCAGATTTGTCAGTTTCAGTCAGGTTTTATCTTCTCTGAGCCCTAATTTCTTCACCTGTAAAAATAGGGTTTAGGGGGGGCAGGGGATATAGCTCAGTTGGCAAAGTGCTTGCCTTGCATGCACAAGGCCCTGAATTCAATCCCCAGCACCACACACACACACACACACACACACACAAAAAAAAAAAAAAAAAAAAAAGGGTTTATGCTAATGACCTTTAGGGTTGTTACCAGGATTAAATGTGAATGGATGTAAAGATCATAGCACAATACCCAGCAGGTCTAGGTACAGAACAAATGGCAACTCTTTGCTGCTAGCAGTATTAAATTCAAAGCACCTCACCATGGCAGTGTGGTCCATGAGGAGCTTATTTACCTAAAATGAAGAAATGGTATAAAGAGCAAAAAGTTTCCTATACAACCTCCATGAGGATGCTGTAAGAAACTATTGAATGAAACCTATTATTTTATTAATTGAAAGGGTATTTTTTGAAGATAATGTTGGTTACATTAGTTTTCTTTTGTTGCTGTTGTTTCTGGAAGTTTTCTCCTAATGAGAATTCACAAAAAAAATTACTTTCTGATATTAGTGCCAGCAGTAATTATGCTGCTTCTGAGTATTAAGTTATGAACGCAGTGAATCATGGAACTGGCCATGTCTTATAAAATCCTAGAACACATAATGTTACTGTACAGCTCACCAATAATAAATACAAACACTTTAAGCACATATTTTTGTACAATTAACTTCATTCTTGGTTTTATCTTCCCTATTTGTTTTCCTTTTGTTTCATTTTTCCTTTTCATTTCCTTTATCCATTTACTAAAACAAAAAAGTCCCATCAAACATTGTATCAGAATACCAATAAAGAAATAAAAGACACAATCCTGTTTTTAAGGAATTGACAAGCTAGGGGGCAAATGACAAGAAAACACACAATTATCAATAAGCACAGTAAATGCTATGAGAATTGAGAGAAATGTGCTAAGGACACACACAGGAAAAGCTCTTGGAACACCTTTTGGGGAAAGGCAGCCAAACAGTGAGGCAAATGCAGTCCAACAACAGAAAGATCTTCACTGGGCTAAGAAATCTGAACTTGATCCTGAAGACCATGGCGAGCTCACGACAGGATTTTAAATTGGATTTAAATGGCATGATCAGATCTGCATCTTGGAAAGAACAGTCTAGTAATGGTATAGAGAAGAGATTGAAATGGAATTTAAAAATGGAATCATCACTCTAACTATAAGGTCAGAAGTTCAGTAGTGACAAGGGCCTGAATGATTTAATACTTAAAAAAAGATTTTCCACTTTCATTATATTTTCCAGCTCTTGTTAATTTGTAGGAACACTATGATTTTTTAATTTATTTTTATGGTACTGGGGGGTTGAACCACTGAGCTATATCACTAGCCCTTTTTATTTCTTGAGATAGTCTCATTAAGTTGCCCAGGCTGGCCTTGAACTTGTGATCCTCCTGCCTCAGCTCCCCAGTTAGGTGGGATGGCAAGAGTGTACCACAAAGCCCAGCTGGAATGCTGTGAGTTTTTGTTAACTTATACATTTAACCTCTAGAAGAATTCCATATTACCAAATGAACATACTTTCATATCTTTTTTCCAAATGTTTGCATTCCATTTCTTATTGTATTATCTAGGAGAGTTATCTGTTTTTTTTTAAATACCCAAGTTGTACAATTTTAGGTTATAAATTGAAAAATCATTCTAAAGAACAAAATAGGGATTTTGGAAACTATGTAAACTCTTTAATAACTTAATATTGTAATCCAGAAGCAACATAACAATGGTGAGAAGATTTGCTATTTAATACATGTTGTTGGGACAACTGGGTTCTTAGTTCAAAGCAGTAAGAATTGCTTCCTACCACAGCTGCAAGCTGCAATCCTTTTCAGATGGGTCACAAAGTTAAATATAAAAAAAAGAAAAAAAATAGCATATTTATTCCAGCTGTAGAAGGAAGATAACTTTCTAACTATTGTGAAATAAAGAATATCCTAAGAGACAAACTGAATAAGTATGAATACATAAGCATAAAATACTTTTGCACAATGAAATTAAAAAGGTGACAGTAATAAAGGAGGAAAAAAACTGATAAAAGTTTACTAGCCTATATATATGTATATAAATCTATCACAAATATGAAATGTGTAAGGTCAATAACCAATATATTTTCTCAGTTTATACATGATGGAAATAAAAACAGCAAATTATTATTTTGCAAAGCCTCTTACGAAATTAAATGCTATCTGGAAAATCATCTAAAAAAATGCAACAGCAGCTATAAATGCTGCATGCATATACACATGCAGCCCCACACTCTGGCCTCTTAAATGCACTTCGAGGAAATTTATCACAAAAAAAACTAATCATTTGTTTATTTGGAACAGAACTACTCATAACAGGAAAAAATGAAAATAACTCAAGAATCTAAGAAAGGTAGTAAACTATAAGACAGCAACATGACATTTATCTATCATATAGTTTTTTAGAAGGACACATATGAGGACATAAATAATTAGAAGTGCAAAGGGAGGAATTCAAACCAATGCTTTTTTGCAAAATTTGAATATATGTATGTGATTTAAGAAGGATGTAGATAGAGGAAATGTCCTCTACCCCCTTTTAAATTTTTCCTAATTAGTTATACATGACAACAGAATGCATTTCATTTCATTGTACACAAATGGAGCACAATTTTTCATTTCTCTGGTTGTACACAATGTAGAGTCGCACTATTTGTGCAAACATACATATGGCTAGGGTAATGATGTCCTTCTCATTTTACCACCTTTCCTACCTCCATACCCCCCCTTCCTTCCCCTCCCTCCCCTTTGCCCAATCCAAAGTTCCTCCATTCTTCCCATACCCCCTCCCCCATTATGGATCAACATCCACTTATCAGAACATTTCAGCCTTTGTTTTTTTGGGATTGGCTTACTTTGCTTAGCACAATATTTTCAAACTCCACCCATTTACCTAAAAATGCCATAATTTTATTCATTTTTAATGCTGAGTAATATTCCACTGTGTATATATACCACAGCTTCTTTATCCATTCATCTAATTGAAGGGCATCTAGGTTGGTTCCACTGTTTAGCTATTGTGAATTGAGCTGCAATGAACATTGGTGTGACTACATCACTGTAGTATGCTGATTTTAAGTCCTTTGGGTATAAACCAAGGAGTGAGATAGCTGGGTCAAATGATGGTTCTATTCCAAGTTTTCTAAGTAATTTCCATACTGCTTTCCAGAGTGGTTACACCATTTTGCTGTGCCACCAGCAATGTATGAGTGTATCTTTTCCCCATATCCTCGCCAACACTTACTGTTGCTTGTATTCTTTTTTTTTTTTTTAGTTGTATATGGACACAATACCTTTATTTATTTATTTTATTTTTATTTTTATTTGGTGCCAGGAATCGAACCCAGTCCCTCACACATGCTAGGCAAGCACTCTACCACTTAGCCATAGCCCAGGCCCTGTTGCTTGTATTCTTGATAACTGCCATTCTGACTGGAGTGAGATGAAATCTTAGAGTAGTTTTGATTTGCATTTCTCTAATTACTAGATGTCCTTTACTCTCATTTTATCTAGGTACAGTGGGCTCTGAAGCTATCCCAAAGTCCACCCAGCACCACTCAACTGCCCACACAAACATTCTTTCCTCCTTTAACATGAGGGATCCAGTGGGCACCTTCATCCTCCTATAAGTGCCAGCATAGGAATATATTTGCTGCTGTGCAACATAGGTTTCTGGAAAGAAAAGCAACTACTGAATTGTTCACCAGGCTTACTGTGAGTGTGGCGAGGGACATGAAGCCCATGAGGTTATTCCATACTTTATCAATGTCCTTCAGCAACTGCTGCAGTTTCTCACTGCACACCGCAGTGGCTTTTATTCCCAGCTCCACGCGCTTGGTTACTCTGTACACTTCAACAACACCTGACCGGCAAGAGAAGAGAGAGTTAAGAGTTGCAAGTGCAGAAAAAGACATGAGCAAGATAGGGCAGCACTGCTACTTGCTGGCACACTGGCTGGAATTAAGGAATGTATCTAGACAGAGGGGAGCCTACTATTCTTAGGGACCAATCTACCTCTCAATGCTGCAGGACAGTTTACTGGTAAAAACAGACACTCTAGGGTGACACTGCTTGGGTTCGTCTTTATTCTGTCCTTTACTAGGCATGTAACCTTGAGCAAGTCACATAAACTGCTTTCTGCCTCAGTTTCCTCATCTGTAAAGTTGGGATAATAATGATACCTCTTCCAAGGATGGTTGAAAGGATGAAATGAGTTAATGTTCTAAACTAAGGCCTAGAATAGTGCCTGGAGAACAACACGCATTAGGCAAGTTATTAGCTTTTTTTTTTCCCCTTCCAGGTTTATGAGTTTCTGTTTGAATCTAGGAAATCCCATTAAATTGACTGAAAATAGGAATAATAAAAGTTTAAAAGAATCTAAATGTTAATATCATCATAGAGTAATTAAAGAAATATCTCACTCCTCTGAATCCTCAAGGATTTACAAACTCACTGGCTTCACGTATCTTTTATACACTTAATAGATGCAGAATGGTTCTTTTCCTTCTAACCCTGCATTGGGCTGAAATCTTCAAGTAAGGATGAGAGGTACCAAATACCTCCACATTCTAAAGACAGCTACCAGGAATACCCGGACTCCTACAACGTGACAGTCACTAGATAGATTATCCCAGCCTCTAAGTGAATGCTGGAGAATCCGGGGTGGGGGGAGGGCACAGCCTTGTGTACAGCACTATGGCTTTTCCTCTTCTTTCCCCAAGGGAAAGGGAGAAATTATGTCTATCCTAAAAAGTGAGTGGGCTTTTAAGAGAATCTTCCACTACTAGAGGGAAAGACAGGTACCCCGTTTCCTGGTGGATATCTGCTAATGCAGTAGAATTGTGTCTATCTGAACAGGAAAAAGGGAACTAGAGCGAGGTGTCAAGAGTCTGGCAGAGACTCCAGCCCTTCACTATCTACTTGTCCAGCAAATCCTTTGAGTGACTTCCATGTGTCGGGTACTAGATGAAGTGTTGGGGGCACAGCAGTGAACAAAACATACCCAAATCCCTGCCTTCATGGAGGTTCATCCTAGCAAAGGGAGACAGACAGTAAAACAAGGATAAGTAAAATATATAAGATATTAAAGGTGACAGGATTAGGTTCGATCCCCAGCACCACAGGGGGAAAAGATGGATAAAGCTAAGGAGAAAACCAAGCAGAGAGGGGCACAGGGAAAGGAGTGCTAGGGGCAGGAGAAGAGATACCATTTTGAGAAAGAATACAGAGAAACCTCAGTGAGAAGGTGACATTTAAGTGAAGATTTGAAAATGATTATTAGGCTAGTACATGTGGCCCTGGCCACAGATCAGGTATGAACTTGGGGAGGGGAGGAACACTGAACTGGACAGAGACTGAGGTTTCAAGTTGGGTTGGAATGTTTAATAGTTGAAAATGACCAGGAAGTTAAGGAAATCTGTTTATGCCATTAAGGGGTAAGAAGGAAGAACCTATTGAGTATAGTAAGGAACTGATAAGAAATATATTTTTTCAATATGGGAGATTGAACCAGGGGGTGCTTTACCCTTGAGCTACTCCCCCAGTTTTATTTTGAGACAGATTCTCACTAAGTTGCCCAGCTGGAGCCTTGAACTTGTGATCCTCCTGCCTTAGCCTCCCAAATTCCTGGGATTATAGGCATGCACCAATGCGCCTGGCTAATAATTTCACTTTAATGCCTCATTAATACAAACTCTTGGGTAAACTAGTTAAGTAGGTATAATTTATATTGCTTTTATATATATATAAAACAAAGACTTAAAACTTGGCCCTAGAGTCAAAGTTACTGCCTATGAATTAAGTGTCTTATATTCAAATGCAGATGCCACTTAGTGAAGTTGTATATGGCTTGAGAGATCCAGCTTCAAAATACTTAACATAAGCAAAAACCGATAATAATGCATTGTCATGATTTCAAATAAGTAAAATACAAAACGAAGATACCTAATAAATATTCCATGCCTTGAGCTGACTGAATAACTTCTGTGCAAACAGCACTACTACTAATTCCATTTAAGGTGTCATTTGCCTTCTTAATGACCTACAAGAAATGAAATCACATTACATTATGTAACCAAAAAAGGTCACTGCAAAACAAATTTATTATTAGTAGAAAACCCAACCAGGAAGTGTGAAAAACCATGACTGACTGGCATATTATACACTGAAACAAATCTGAGAATTTAAGTTTAATCTTAAAGAAACCATCCTCCATTACATTGGCAGAAAAAAGATTGAGGTTCTTTAGTTTAAATCTTATTTTGATTTAGGCAGAGATAATGATATCACTTTGTTATTTCTCAAACATAGTGACAGTCAAAGAGACAGCTGACAGGTGAGCCAGCGTTTTTAATAATTTTTGCCATATGAACATGAAGGAAGTCTTCCTTATGACCTATGACTTTCACAATCTAAGGGCCATAGGAGTAAGGCTCCCCTCAAGTTTTCCTCTGTTGGTTCAAAGGAACCAAGAAGAAGGCAAAATGATACAAAAGAACACTTATGTTTGTTTGAACACAAAGGTGACATACTCACATCCAGGGCACTCCCTAGGCATCTCTGCCATTCATACGCGTATCTCTCATTTTCCTGTGAATTTTGGTAGAAAGAACTAGGTTATAAGGCAAGCCTAGGATCCTGTAATTAATAACTTCTGTCAAAAAAAAGAGCTTTTAAGACTTTTTATAAAAATCATTTTTGTAAAAGCAGTTTACCCGTGTGTGTGTGTGTGTATTTGTTTTTTTTTATTCTAGTCCTGGTGATTGAACCAGAGTGTTCTACAACTGAGCTATGTTCTCAGCCCTTTTTATTTATTTATTTTTAACTTTTTAAAAATATTTATTTTGGGGCTGGGGATATGGCTCAAGTAGTGGTGCGCTTACCTGGCATGCGTGAGGCACTGGGTTCGATTCTCAGCACCACATAAAAATAAAATATTGTGTCAACCTAAAGCTAAAAAATAAATATTTAAAAAATATTTATTTCTTTTAGTTGTATACAATATCTTTGTTTTTATTTATTTATTTTTATGTGCTGCTGAGGATCAAACCCAGTGCCTCACGTGTGCTAGGCAAGTGCTCTACCACTGAGCCACAACCCCAGGCCCTGAAGCAAATTTCTGAGGCTGGCCTTGAATATGTCAACCTTCTGCCTCAGCCTCCCCAGTTGCTGGTATACAGACATGTGCCACTGCATCTAACAATAATTATTTTAAATTATTAATAAATGTAACTTCCGAGCACATGACTTGTGAATCTGAGGTAAATGTTTAATAGCAGCTTCCCTCTACAAATGCTGCCTCATTTGTTTTAGTAACAGTGTAGGCCTTTTTCAAAGGTACTCACCTTGGAGGTTTCTAGTGTGAGAGTTCATGTCAAATCACTGACTTCCACTTCAGTCACAGTGCTGTGTGAGAGTGTGTGTGTGTGTGTGTGTGTATGTAGCAAAGAGAGTTAAGTGTGTTGGTCATAGGAGGAAGATAGCATGAGACTAAGAAGCAGTAAACAGAAGACTCAGAATATTTCCCTTCTCTCCTCTATTTTGACATTTTAAAATTCAGTAGGATGATATATAACTATGAACTCAAAATTTAAGTCCCAAGAATTTTCCTCCTTGTAAAGTCCCCCAAATAATTTCAGTTTTAGGGTCTCTGACTATTTCCAGTGGATGCTACATCTAGGAGGTATTTCATCCAGGCAGGGCCATGTTCCAGTGTCTCACTTTAATTATGTATTTTATGTGTGGTGCCTTGTGTCTTTCTCCCCCTCATATTCCTAGGTGAAAGCTGAAAGGACTCTTTTCCTGGAGTTCTTAGGGCTCAGCTACTCTTTTATTTGTTCCTCTGCAGAAAACTACCCCACTCACCTCCACCTCTCCGGTCAGATCTTTGTACTTATCACGAATAACAGGCAGAGCAGGCTTCTCACTCAGAGTATTGGAACGGTCTCTGAAAGGTTGCTCCAGGGCTGGAGAAGGAGAGGACCGGCTTATTTCTTTATCACCAAGGCTCAAGCTCCTCTTGTGTGATCCTGGGAGAAGTGGATGGTACAGTTGGACCTTTTGATTACTCAGTTTAGCTCAAGCAGAGGCTCCTGCCTGTTGACAGGACTCTCCTTTTCAGATGGTTATGTCATGAGGCATTTAGAAAAACAATCTCATTTATTCTTTCTAGAAAGCTACTTGTCAGATCCCTTTTACTGTTTTTTCTTGCTTGGTTTCCCTGCACTGGTTTTCTTCCTTACTCTGATCTATTGTAGCTCTTCTATAACTCTAAGTGCAGAATCATCAGAGTCTAGAGGACAGCAGTGCATTTCTAAATATCAGTGCACATGAGCTGTGCTGCTTTTCCACTTACTGGTCATGGATTTGTACCTGAGCTCCTACATGCTCTCTCAATCCCTGAAGTCAAAGATCTCATTAGGATGGGATTAAAGCAGAAGAGGCAAATTTGAATGTCATCTGAAACAGGCAAGCAGTGTGAGGCAGAAAGTGGGGGGACAATCACAAATTGGGAGAATGAACCCCACTTATGGGGGGTAATGCTAATCACCTACGGCTGATTGTCAAGACATGGGAATGCAGGCCTAGTTTTGCCAGATAATATGACTTTTCAAGAAAAGCTAGAAATAGAGATTGTGAAATCTCATAATTTTTAAATATTGGCAATTGCTTCCTACTTTATGGATCAACCAAAACAGATCTGCAAATTAAAGGCAGATCCACAGCCACCATACTGAAGTTTCTGGATTAAAAGACACTGTAGCCAGGGAACAAGAGCAAAGCTAACTTGTCCACAAGTGAAGCAAATCCATTTCTCTAGCTATTTTAAACAGCATACCACTTCAGGGGCTGAGACTGTGGTTCAGTGGTAGAGTGCTCGCCTGGCATGTGTGAGGCACTGGGTTTGATTCTCAGCACCGTATATAATAAAATAAAAGTCTATCAACAACTTAAAAAAAAAAAAAAAATATATATATATATATATATATATATATATATATATTTTTTTTTTTTTAAAGAAAAAAAACCCAGCATACCACTTCATTAATGAACAACAGATACTTGTGTTTCATACAAAAGTGGTTAAAATATTCTAACAATAATGTCAATTCAGTTTCAGGGAAAACTTTATTAGAGCTATCATAATTGACCCTGATGTCAAAAGTTGGAAAATCTATTTCTTGCTAAACCCAAAACTTTCTTTTTCTTTTCTCTCTTTTTTTTAAAAATTATTTTTTGATATGGGGGATTGAACCCAGGGGTACTTCACCACTAAGCTACATCCCCAGCCCTTTCTTTATTTTTTGTTTTTAGACAGGGTCTCACTAGGTTGCTTAAGGGCCTTACTAGTTGCTAAGTCTGATCTCGAACTTGGGATCTTCCTGCCTCAGGAGGGATTATAGGTGTGCTCGACCACACCTGGTAGAACACTTTTTTCTAAGAAAGGTTATCTAAACATCTCAGTGGAATAAACCCACAATAATAAAATCTACCTTGAAGTTACTTACCTTGAACAGAAAGGTCAAAGGTTGCCAGCTCACTTTTGATCATTTCTTCACTGGATTTCATTTTGCTTTGCGAATTGGCTACTAAAAAGTCAAATTTGCTGATTTTGGGCTTTTCACTTTGAAACTCTCCAAAGTCATCTGAACATTCTTTGGGGGTTTCATGAGAGGTGCCACTGGAAGCTGGGCTTGAACATGTGGCCTCTTGGCTCTGTTCAGCTATAGATAGGTCTTGTCTTATAAAATTTTTATAGTCCCCACTTTCGTATTCCTTTTGCTCACTGCTCTGGGGAATCATGTCTTTAAAACTGGCAAAAGCTGGGAAGGTAGTTTCTGGAAGAGCATCTTCACTTGCAAAAGTCGTTACTTTGGAGAGAGAGGTCATGGTGATGTTTTCAGAACTGCCAAATGATGTCTCTTTCTTTTGAAGAATTGAGGCAGCTGAGGAGGATCCACTTCCTGCTGAGAGGACAAATGGAGAGAGTTTTCTGCCCTGAGATGCATCATCCCTGTCTGACCAGTCATAGCTTGTAAGGGTGCTCATTGTAAAAGTGCTACTGTAGCTCCCAAAAGCAGCATATTTTAAGTCCTCTATATCTGAAAGGGAAATAAGACCCCACAATTAGAGGCAAACTCACAATTTGGGCAAAATGCCCTGAACTCTGCAGAAGCAAAATGCCTAGCACATTTGACTAGTTTTCTACTATGTTGAAGAATAACTAAATTTAGAGCTTCTACTAAAGGAGTTGGGCTGTAATATCTGATCTGATCTTATTAAAAAAAAAACCTGCAATAGTTTTGAGTTGGTATTTACATTTAGTTTAAAGGGATCACTTTGTCTGGCTATAAAAATTACTAAAAATGATGAGAGGTTCATCTATCAGGGTACATACTGTTGAATATAAGATTAAAGTAATTTAATACATTGTCTATTTCCTTATAAACTTTAAAATGTATAACATATTCCCTGCTTCCTCTGGACTTTGTTGGAAAATATTCCCCGAAGACATGGTCATATAAAATGTACATGGCAAACTGGTTAAAAGTTAACAGTTTCTCAAAACGAAAGTGAAAGTAGTGTCACCTCACTTTAATAAATTAGGAATTTCTGTCTCAGGTAAGGCCAAATATGAGATTTGAATTAAGCAATTACTTACCTAATTGTTATTTTGGTCAATGTGGACGTCATATTGCTGTGGTAGATTATGAGAAAAGAAAAATCAATCTAATCTACTTTGGCCCTTAAAAAATGGAATCAAAGGTCTGGGTTCTATTGGGCTCCCATGTCAGCTTTAGTTATGTAGCTACTCCCCCCATCCCTCCAACCATTGAAAAAAAAGAGAAAAAAGAAAAAAAAAATGATTTGGGGCATTAAGACTTATTATATGAAACATTCTTAATACGTGTTTAAATAATTTAAGAGGAGCATAAGTAACAGAAAGAATGTAGGATTTTTTTTTTTTTAAATTTAGAGAGACCTGAGTTCAACTCTGTCACCTACTTACTTGTGGGTCACTAAGCAAATCACTTCACATTTCTGAATCTTGGTTTTCTGATCTTTCAAATTAGGAGAAAACCATGTACTTGGACAGACTGTGTCCAGGATGACCAACTGTGATAATGTGTGTGGAAGGCCAGCGCAGGGCCTGGCGAGCAATACATAACAGCTAGTGGTTGTTCAGCATAGCTGCCACCACTCAATTTGGCATTTAGTAACTAGTTTATGGCCTAAGATGAAATTATTTCAAACTAAAAAGTAAAAGTCAATTTATCATGTTAGGGAAAATTTCTTGCTGTTTCTAAAAGCACAATCAGCTGAGGCTGAACATGGCTGGTGTGGAAAAGCCACTTTCACAGCCGTGCTGTCCAAATCTGTCAGGCTGAGCAGTGCTGGGTTTCATTTTAGACACGGGTTCAAGGCAAGCTAAATGCCCCTCTGAAAACCACGTATGTGATTTTCAAGGAAAATGTTCGAAAGTTTTGTGACCCAGATTTTCACAATTAAGTCAAAACACTGGGTCATTTCTTTTACAACAAATCTATTTTACAAGGTGAAGGGCTCCTAACATTTCCCAAACTCTCCTACAGCTCTTTTAAGGAAAAGGTACAAAATTAATAATAAAAGTACTAGAAAAAGTCAACCAGTGAGCTGGGATTGTGGCTCAGTGGTAGAGCACTCACATAGCATGTGTGAGGCACTCGGTTCGATTCTCAGCACTGCAGACAAATAAATAAAAATAAAGGACCATCAACAACTTAAAAAAATAATTACTAAAAAACATCAACCAGTGATAAAAAAAATAGGTATTTTTAAATTGTGTAATGCAAATGGTACCCTTCAAATATGACTTATTAAGCAGAAGGAAAAAATATTCAGGCAAAAAATGTAGGGGCTGGGGATGTGGCTCAAGCGGTAGCACGCTCGCCTGGCATGCGTGAGGCCCGGGTTCGATCCTCAGCACCACATACAAAACAAAGATGTTGTGTCCGCCGAAAAACTAAAAAAATAAATAAATAAATAAATAAAATGTATAGTTTATAATGAATGAAATGAGCCTTTAGACAAAATGCTTTCCTAGTGTCTTGCTATAGTGATTTTCTCCCACTTATTTAAAGAAGTCAGAAAGTACCCAGACTCAAATGAGGTGAAATTCAATCAGGAGGCAGATACAATTAAACCTGTCTAGTCTTCAAGGGATTCAGCAGAATGTTTCATAGTACAGATTTTTAAATTGTTATTGTCATTATTATTAGAGCCTACCAGAAAGTTCTTTGGGGGGAACTATATGAGGAACAGCTTTTAGAATTTCATCTATTAACAGGAAGCAATTTTTCTAGAGACCAAAGGTAAATTTAACAAACACGACTCCAGTTCAAACACTGCAACCAAGTTGCTATGGTAATAAAAAAGATCATTTTGTGTAATTATGTGACAAGAAGATTTTTCTTTTTCTTTTTTTTTTTTTTTAATTAGAAATGACTAAAAAAAAAGAAAGAAAAGAAATGATTCATCAGATTAGAGGCTTTATAAGCAACAGGGACTACCTTAGCTGAAGAACCTTTAAGTATTTTTATAACTATATAGGTCTTTAATAAATCTTATTTTTTAAAAAGTGACATGCATATAACATTTTGCCTTCTGGGGCAACTCACAAAAATAAGCAAATAAGGGCTAGAGGTATAGGCTCAGTGGTAGAGTGCTTACCTAGCATTTGTGAGGGCCTGGGTTTGATGCCTACCACCAAAAAAGAAGAGACTAAAAAACCAAATGAAAGACTGAAAAGGAAATATAAAAGATTCACTAAAGTCAAGCCTCAAAGTTGAGTTTTAAATTTACTTTTGATTAAATATACTGGCTACAATGGGGTCAAAAAGTAATTCACTAAGGTGTAAATCCTTTGAACAAATAAGTACTAAACTGAACATTATATAAGCGATACAAGACAGAACATTGACATAACACTTATCTTTAACCTTTAGCATTTATCAACAATATGGTAGTATTTCCTGGCATAATGAATACTTATAAACCATTTTCTAAGAAAAATGTGATACATCAGTTCATTGAAGGTAGATAAAAGAAAAAAAAATTCCTCATTTCCTGTGTTATTAGTCCTACAGTTTCTAAGCAGTCCTGCTATACATTATTATTGTATAATGGCTTTAAAAATATTAGAGATTATGTAAAGCTTACACTATAAGTGCTAGAAACCTTGTCTGGAAAAATGATGTGGAACAACCCACACTTTATTTTGTAATCACTGAAATTACTATAGATGGGTTTTCAATTTGATAGCTGAATTCTGAAAATTGTCAAGAGAAAAAGGAGAAAAGAAAATGGAGAATGAATGCCACAAAATGAACAGAGAATCACTACTGTATTTCCAATTCTCCTGGAGGAGAACTGCCAGGCTGCACTAGGTTGAGCCGCAATTGCACACAGATAATACATCAAATTGTGTGCTTTAATACAACTATTTGTTTGCAGCCAGGAAAGTCCTCTTACAAAGGGTAAAGGAATAAACTATACAATCTGCTTTCCATCATGGATCTCAAATCAAGACATAGATTTCTTGTGCATTCTGGCAAGTAACCCTATCAGTCTCTTCTGTAACCTCTATTCAAATCCTTTTTGAATGGAGGTTGTACATGAAAACAAGGTATTTCCAAGAACGTGAGCTGGCACTATAGGACACAGAAGGCAGTCCTATGGACATTTTCTAAAGTTGTGAACACAGGCCTGGGGGATTAAGAGTTACTAGCTTTTGAGGAAGGAATTTAGAGAAAGAAGAAAGACAGCACATGCTCAAATTCCACTATTTTTGAAGGGATTTTTTTTAATAGCAATAACAATGTTCATTGGACTAAGGAAGAAACATCTTTTAACTTCCCATACTGATTTAATTCAGATTTCACCAAATGCAAATTATGAAATATTTATATATTTCAGTTTCTCTTTACTCCTGGCTCTATTCTACCCTAGAAAATATTCTGCATAATTGTAAAACTTGGTCTCAGTGTGTCCTGTTAAGTCTCTTCTGCAACACCCAGATTTATACACTTAAGATCATTTTCTTTCAAATTTTTAGCAGCACATGTAATAATTAAAACATAATGCATTTATACAAGGTTTTTTGAAACCAAGTATTATTCAACTTGCTCTGGAAAACACCCAGACAGATGTTGCAGAAGAAAACTGGGAACAAAAAAAATCATAGTACAAGTGTGACAAGCTATCAAATTCTGCTGTATAACTGCCTTCCAGTATTGTCTAATCTGCATGAAAACCTCCAATTCTTTCTTGGTGCTGACTTCTGTAACACTATGGTTTAAATTATATGCACACCCTCTATAAGCACCTTTAGGTTTCTACATCAGTGTTTTAAGTTCAGTAAAGAAAAATGGCGGGGCTGGGGTTGTGGCTCAGTGGTAGAGTACTTGCCTAGCAAGCATGAGGCACTGGGTTCGATCATCAGCACCACATAAAAATAAAATAAAGAAAAGTAAATAAAGATAAAATAAGATGTTTAAAAAAAAGAAGAAGAAGAAGAGAAAAATGGCAGTCCTGTAGATATTTTAAGTCAGAGAAGGTTAAAAGGCCAAGGAATACTATCAAGATACACAGTGGGATTGTCCGTGATCATCAATAAAAATCTTACCAATATGATACCAATTAAAGCTGGGTGTGGTAGCACACACCTATAATTTCACAGGGGTTTATAGGGAGATTGAAGCAGGAGGATTGCAAGTTTAAGGCCAGCCTCCGCAATTTAGTGATACCCTGTTCAAAATAAAAACATAAGAAGAGCTGATGTAGGTCAGTGGTAGAGTGACCCTGTGTCCAGTCACCAGTACTAAAAAAGAACACAGAAGATGGCAGTTCAAATTGAGTTTTTGGGCCATGCAAGTGAGAGGGCAACACTTAGGAGATCCTTCTGTGTATACAACCTTCTTATGCTCTCAAAAGTTATTGAGCCAACACTTCCCAAAATAACTTATAAAAAGTACTCAGTGCAAAAATATGGAAGGAGCCAAAAGCAACTCTTTTTTTTTTTTGCGGGGGATGGGGGAGACTGGGGATTGAACTCAGGAATGCT